CGGTCAACACAAAAACGAAATTTTTCTCTTTTTTCGATTGACCGAAAAAATCTCCCGCAACCTTGAAACAACTCTCCGAATATCAATTAGAAATAAGGGACACAAAGTGCTATAATTCAATTCATGTTTCCAGCTACTAAATATGAATAAACCTTCAAAATCACCAACCAAACACATGCCGATGAATATGTGGCTGATAATGAAAAAGGTATACAAAAAGTCCCAATTTTCACATAAAACTCTGCGCTAATGAATGATAACACTTCGGAAATGAATCAATCTCACGATCCGACGAAAATGCCAACTGAATTATCAACCGATATATGAATATTTGTGAAGTGATGAGGTAATCGGTTACAAAAATGAGATTGTAAAAATAAAATAATCAATTATACAAATATGAAATAGAATAATCATCAAAAAAAAACATAAATAATCTCATCATACGTTATGATATGTTAATTTAGGAATAGAAATAATAGTGCTGATAACAATAACGATAATACTTCAAAGAGGAACAAGCATTCCACTTTAGAGACTAGCAGCAGTAATGTGCATAGTGTTATGAAAATCACCCTTTTCACTAGAAACGACTGACAAACAGACGCACAAACACAGAAGAAGAGAACAGCGCCTCAGGAAGTTATTCGATCACATCGACTATTCGACCAGCACAGAACGACCACTTTATCCCACCTGNCTGCGAGACTAAAATCACCTCGTCGTTTCCACTGAATATTTCTCGAAAACAGTGATCGAATAAAGCACTGGCGCAATTGGACTCTAGAGACTGTCCATAAAAGGAGAGTGCATCTATTGCGAAATAGTCAGCGCTCGGATTTCACTTTGTATTGAAGATACAGCATTTTTGACGTATGAAGACGGCATCGGAACAGCGCCGAGGGTATGTCGTCTGTTCCAATCGGTCAATTCCTCTAAACGAAACGTCACCGGTGACGGCGGTGATCCTTTCTCATAAGCACCTTCCTTTCTTTGACGCTTATTCGTTTCTTCTCCTTCTTTTATCTCCGATGAAGATGATAACATTTCTCCTTTCGGCATTGCTTCAACACGAACTTTCGCCTCAAAACTTCCGACCAAACTCCGAACCATACTACTCTTCTCTTCCAAATGACTGTACAATTTTGACGATCCACTATCTATCTGAAAAACCGAGGTGCTTTCAAATAATATTCTTCAGCCCTAAAAATAATATTTTCCGAATT